TCTGTCTGTCTGTGGGCTCTTTGTCTAGGGGTATATATATAGTCGCATGGGGCCCTAGATAGTTACATTTAGCATGTCTGGGACATGTCTGGAACTGATACAGGACGAGTGGTATCCCAATCAGCTCTTGGAGCTGGGGGGCACGGACCGGCTGCCTCTGCCTTGGCAATGCTGGTACGGTGGCAGCAAGCAGAACAGCAGGCTGGAGGGTGGGCAGGGAGTCCCCATTTCCTAGGCCTGGGAATGAAAGGGATTGTAGCCATTCATTTACAACCCAGGCATGTTGTTTCAGACGTGTCCCAGACAGATGTCCCAGACCTGCTGAATGTAACTATGAAGCCCCACTAAATGTAACTGCCAAGGGCCAGACATGCCCCAAACACAGTGTCCCAGACATGTTCTAGATATGTCCCAGACAGGCTACCTAGCCCCTATCGAGGGCCCCATGGGATTATATATACCCCTAGACAAAGAGCCTACAGATAGAGAGGGAGAGAGCACTTTTCTCTTTCTCTCTGCCAGGAGCTCTGGCACTTCTGTATTCTTTTGTGTAAATAAATCCTGCCTTACCACTGATCTGTGGTCCGCGGATTCATTCTTTGAATCACCGAGACCAAGAATCTACTGAAGAGCAAAATTCCGGTATCAGAACAACATGTTTAGCCCTCTGTAGTTACATTTAGTAGTTACATTTAGCATATCTGGGACATGTCTAGAACAACATGTCTGAGTCTCAAATGAATGGCTATAATCCTTTTCATTCCCAGCCCTAGGAAATGGGACCCCCTGCCTACCCTCCAGCCCACTGGTTCTGCTGCCTGCTGCCACTGCACCAACATTGCCAAGACAGAGATAGCTGGTCTGTGCCCCCCATCTCCATGAGCTGGCTGGGATGCCACTTGACCTGTATCACACTCAGTGACAAAAGAAATTGGGTTGTCACCTGACACCTCCCTCTTGAACACCTGCCAGTTCCATCCATTAACCTGTCATGTGGGGCACCTGGGGCACTGCAAAACGTGTCTCTCTATTCCATCCCCCTCTGCTTCCAGTCTTTTATTCTTCCTATGCCACTCTTGCCCCATTCTTCCAACAGCAGCAAGAGGATTATTTTTTTTCTTACTATTGTTGGTTTGTTTGTTTGTTTTGAGTACAGGGTTGTGGGCCAGGCTGGGCCTCAAAGACCCTTGCTCCAGTCTACTCTCAGCTCAGAAGCCTAACGGAAGAAATGCCATTCCTTGCAACTCATTGCCTTTACTGATCTCCAAGCTGCAGGAGATCCAAAGGCACTGGACCTGCCCTGACCTAGGAAGGCTACTCTCAATTAAACTTGGGCACCAGGGTTGGGTCCAAGGATATGAGACAGAGTCTCATGCTCAGGAAGGCCCCATGCTCAGAAGGGACCATGCTTGGTTAATGTATGCGGTCACTGTCCTGAGATTCTTAAAATTTTTTTAACATGGGGCCTTGCATTTGCCTTTTGCCCTGGGCCCTGTAAATTATGTGGCTGGTTCTGCTAGGTACCTTCTAGTCTGGATCCATTTCCTTAAAGCAGATATCTCTATCAAGACTACAACACTTGGTCTTGTGGTTTAACTCCATGCAACTAAAGAAAAGAAATTTTTTGTTTTTCTTTGAGACAGAGTCTTGTTGTATTGCCCTGAGTAGAGTGCTATGGTGTCATCATAGCTCACAGAAGACTCAAATTCTTGGGCACAAACAATCCTCTTGCCTCAGCCTCTCTAGTAGCTAGGACTACATGCAACTATCATGACACCCAGCTAGTTTTTCTATTTTTAGTAGAGACTGAGTCTTGCTCTTGCTCAAGCGGGTCTGCAACTCATGAGCTCAAGCAACCCACCTGCCTCAGCCTCCCAGAGTGCTAGGATTACAGACCTGAGCTACTGTGCCTGGCCAAATATCTTCATTTTTATCAGAGTAATAGGTGCTTGGGTTCCATATGATAGGCATTTATTAACTTCCTACCATGTGCTGAACATTCTACTGGGAGAGAGAGACACAGCTGAGAAGGACGGTGCTAAGGAAACCCTCAGTCTATTATGGCAGTTAGACAATTTTGCCAGTGATACAGGCAGATGGGCATGGAATGGAGTAGTTTGTCCAGCCTAGGAGTCCAGAAGGGCTTCCTGGAGGAGGTGATGTTTAAGGAATGAGCAGGAATTAGTCCTATCAAATATGGTGACAGGAGAGCATTTCAGGGAAACTGCAACAGTACCAGTAGAAGCATACATAATTAATAGTATGTATGCAGGAGACCACAAGAGATTTACACAGAATAAACATCTAACAGATACCTTCACTTGTAAATATAAACACAAGTAAATAACTGTGTGTATTTATTAAAATAATAAACATGCATTTTAGAAGAAATAAAGATCAATGTTTTACATAAGTAAGATACATAAAATCTATGGATTATCTCAACCACTCGATTATAAAGTCAGGAAAAGAGTGACTGTTTTAGTTTGATTTCCACTGTAACTGCAGCACCTCCTAGTCTTTTAGACCAGGAGTCCTCAAACTTTTTAAACAGGGGGCCAGTTCACTATCCCTCAGACCGTTGGAGGGCCGAACTGCGGCCCGGGACAGTCGGTTGCTAAGCAGGACAGGCAGGGGCGGCAAAAACACCCAGTAGGCGGATTAAATGTCCTGGCGGGCAGCATGTGGCCCGCGGGCGGTAGTTTGAAGACGCCTGTTTTAGACAGTTGATCTGCAAATATCGGGGTGCCTACTTCATTCCATGTACTATCTTAGGGGCTTGGAATCTGCAGTGAACTCAAAACACCTACTGATATAGGGCGTTGCGTGTGGCAATTTATGTTTTTTGGCAATAAGTTTTTAGGAGAGGACCGACAGGGTCATATGTGAGTTTTAGTTGAACACAAAGAAACTTCATTTTTCTGTTAAAAATCTTTTTTTTTTTTTTTTT